ACATCCATCCACATGGCCTCTAGCTGCACCATAGAAGATCGAACTCAACATGATGCCTGGTGGCAGCATGGACAATGGATCTTATCATGTCCTCCTACAGGAGCACAGACCATGGACATCAACAAGGCTTTTGGTGGCACCAACATGGGCTCCGATGGCAACATGAACCATAAACATCAATAAAGGCCTCCAGCAGTAGAACAAGCCATTGACATTAGTATGGCATCATGGAAAGGGATGGCAACATGGCTTGAGGTGGCAGCACAGACCATGACCCAAGCCATGAACATCAGCATGGACTCCAGTGGTAGCACAGACCACATAAGATAATAGGGGCCCTGGTGGTAACAGGAACCATGGTGTCAACATGGCCCCCAGGAGCATCTCAGACTACAGACACAAACATGGCCTCAGGAGGCAGCACAGACCACTAATATCAACATAGCTGCAGGCAGGAGAATAGACCAGGGACATCCATATGGTCTCCAGTAACAACATGATCCATGGGTAGCAACACCGCCTACAGAGGCAGACAGAACCATGGACACCAGGATGGCCCCATTAAATACAGTAACATGGAGTCTGACAGCACACAGCATGAAGATATTTTGAGAAGGCCCAATCTAGAAAATGAACTATTCTCCATCTTGGATGTACCACCATTCCTGAGTCAGGCTGGTCGTGAGGCTAGGTAGTCTGTTAGGAGACAGAGCCTTCAAGAGGTCCAGGGCTGCTTATCACCCCACAAGTGCTAGGCTTTGTAAGAAGGACCAATCCAGAAAATGAACTGCTCTCCATCATGGACAGAGCCAGAGTTAATTCTCTCTCTCTCTCTCTCTCTCTCTCTCTCTCTCTCTCTCTCTCTCTCTCTCTCTCTCTCTCTCTCTCTCCCTCTCCCTCTCCCTCTCCCTCTCCCTCTCCCTCTCCCTCTCCCTCTCCCTCTCCCTCTCTCTCTCCCTCTCCCTCTCCCTCTCCCTCTCCCTCTCCCTCTCCCTCTCCCTCTCCCTCTCCCTCTCCCTCTCTCTGCTTCTCTCTGCCTTTCTCTCCCCAGCATTCTCCTTGTTTGGTAGCCCCACCTATATTTCCTGCCTGGTTACTGGCCAATCAGCTTTTATTAAACCAAGTAGAGAAACATATCCACAGCATACAGATAGGACATCCCCCATCATCTCCTCTTTTCTGTCTAAATAAAAAGAAAGGTTTTAACTTTAACATAGTAAATTATATGTAACAAAACAATTACCAAGCAAGGGAGTCTAGCTTGATCAAACCACATTAGTCTAGAAGAAATCCACAGCTTTTCCTCTTCTGTGGAAAGAAAAGCAGACTCTCTTTTCAAAAGTAACATGTCCTTAGACTTAAAATTTGAAGTCAAGGCTTTTTTCAAAGCATACAGGTTGGATTCATCCAGCAGCATTTATAATCAAATGTCTTTTAGCAGCTGTTACTCCTTCCTCAGCAATCAAACAATTCAAAGATAATAATATACAGTATCCAGATTCTCTGTGTATTTTCTGTAGACTTTTTCTTTTAATTCCATTTCTTTCTTTATTTTTCTTTTCTTTTTTTTTTTTTTTTTTTTTGGTTTCTGGAGACAGGGTTTCTCTTTGTAACTTTGACTGTGCTTGAACTCACTCTGTAAACCAGGCTGTTATGAATTGTTCTTCCTGCCAGCCTGGATCCCCAGCCACCTTGCCCCAAATGAACACTCAGAGTTATAATATTGTTGGTCAATGACTAGGGCTTCTATTAGCTAGCTCTGTCTTAATTATTAACCCATAACTACTAATCTATGTATTTCCATATGGTCTTAGCTTACTGGAGAATGCCAGAACTGCAACTCCTTTGTCTGCTACATCACAACTGTCCTGGTAGGCTCTTTTGCCTACCTTTCCCAGATTTCTCCTCCTCTCCTAGTCCTGCCTATCTTACAGCCTCATTGGCCATTGGCCCAACATTGTTTTATTCTTCAACCAATAAGAGAAACATATACAAAAGGAAATCCCCCATCACCAGGCTGGCATTGAAATCACAGACATCTGCCTGCCTCTGTCTCCCAAGTGCTGGGATTAAAGGTATGTGCTACTATACACAGCGACTCTGTTTCTTTTTTTAGGGACTTTCTCTGACAGTTTTCTTTTCTCTCCTAAGCATACACACATTTTTAAACACACTGTAAATCATTTAGAGGTTTTTCTTCATTTGAATCAGTCTTTACTGTATATCTCTCTTCTTCTGACCACATGAGTCTTTAATCTGTTAAACAGCATGGCTAAAATTAAAGCAGCAGCTGGCCCCACCCTATTCCTTGTTTTTCTGGTAATTTAGCTTCATGGTAGAATACTGGTGGGAGTCATGCTTATTGGCACAACTCTGCAGAGTTTCCAGGTCCATGTCACCACCAAAAAGCATGCTGCCAACCATTAACTCTGAGGTACCGTCTCTTTGAAGTTGAGGTGTGTTTCTTGTATGCAGAAGAAGGGGGAACTCTGTCTTCGTATCCATTCTATTAGCCTGTGTCTTTTTATAGGTGAGTGAAGATCATTAATATTGAGAGATATTAATGACCATTAATTATTCATTCTTGTTTGTTTTGGATTTGGTGGTGGTGGTGGTCGTGGTATTCTGTGGGGATTTCCACCCCTTTTTTTCTTTTGGCTGTTGGTAAAGTGGGATTATCTATTGCCTATGTTTTTATGGGTGTAGTTAACTTCCTTGGGTTGGAGTTTTCCTTCCAGAATTTTCTGTAGGGATGGATTAGTGGATATGCATTGTTTGCATCTGGTTTTGTCATGGAATATCTTGCTTTCTCCATCTATAGTGATTGAAATCTTTGTTGGGTATAATACTCTGGTCTGGCATCCGTTGTCTCCTAGTGTTGGTAGAATATCTATCCAAGACCTTCTAGCTTTCAGAGTTTCCATGGAGAAGTCAGATGTAATTCTCATAGGTTGCCTTTATATGTTACTCAGCCTTTTACCTTTGTTGCCCTTATAATATTCTTTCTTTATTCTGTATGTTTGCAGTTTTGATTATTATGTGGCAAGGGAACTTCCTTTTGTGGTCCAGTCTACAATTACCTTGGTACCCAAGCCATACAAAGACACAACTAAGAGAGAGAACTACAGACCAATATCCCTTCTGAACATTGATGCAAAAAATTCAATAAAATACTGGCAAATCAAATCCAAGAACGCACCAGAAAAATCATCCACAATGATCAAGTAGGCTTCATCCGAGGGATGCAGAGATGGTATGATATATGAAAATCCATCAATGTAATCCACCATATAAACAACCTGAAAAAGAAAACCTATATGATCATCACACTAGATGCTGAAAAAGCCTTTGACAAAATTCAACAGCCCTTATTGATAAAGATCAGGGATAACAGGAACATACCTAAACATAATAAAGGCAATATATAGCAAACCAACAGTCAACATCAAACTAAATAGAAAGAAACTCAATGGGATTCCTCAAAACTTTGGAACAACACAAGGCTGTCCTCTCTCTCCATATCTCTTCAATATTGTACTTGAAGTTCTAGCTAGAGCAATAAGACAACAAAAGGAGATCAAGGGGATACAAATTTGAAAAGAAGAAGTCAAACTTGAATACTTACAGATGATATGATAGTTTACATAGGAGACACAAAAAATTCTACCAAGGAACTCCTACAGCTGATTAACACCTTCAGCAAAGTGCCTGGATAGAAGATTAACTCAAAAAAATCAGTAGCCCTTCTATATGCAGATGATCAATGGGCTGAGAAAGAAATCAGAGAAACATCACCCTTTACAATTGCCACAAATATTATAAAATACCTTGTGGTACTGCTAACCAAACAGGTGAAAGACCTGTATAACAAGAACTCTGAGTCTTAAAGAAGGAAATTAAAGATACCAGAAAATGGAAAGATCTCCCATGTTCTTGGATAACTAGGATCAATGTAATAAAAATGGAAATCTTGCCAAAAGCAATCTACAGATTCAATGCAATCCCCATCAAATCCAAGCACAATTCTTCACAGACCTTGAAAGAATAATACTCAACTTTATATGGAAAAACAATAGACCCAGGATAACCAAAACAACCCTGTACAATAATGAGGTTGATGACTACCTTATATGCCACCCTAGAGCCTTCATTCAGCAGCTGATGGAAGCAGAAGCAGGCACCCACAGCTAAACACTGAGCCAAACTCCTGGAATCCACTTGCAGAAGGGAGGAATGATGAGCAACAGGATCAAGACGAGGCTGGAGAAACAGCTGACCTCAACAAGGGGGAGTTCATGGACCCCAGACTGATAGCTGGGAAACCAGCATAGGACTGATCCAGATTCCCTGATCATGGGTGTCAGTTAGGAGGCCTGGGCAATCTATGGGGCCTTTGATAGTGGATCAGTATTTGTCTCTATAGTATGAACTAGACTTTGACACATGGGAGGAGGGCCTAGGCCCTGCTCCAACTGATATGACAAACTTGGAAGATCCCCCATGGAAGACCTCACCCTAGCTGGGGAGCAGAAAGGGAATGGGATAGGGGGCCGGTGGGGGGCAGGAGAGGAGGGGAGAGAGAGGGAACTAGGATTGATCATAAAACAAGCTTGTTACTGATTTAAATTTAAAAATAAAAAAAAGCCTGATGCCAGCTGCTCATAAACACCATTTAATTGTTTGGCAGCAGAGCCTCTTAAAAGAGCTTTCTGCTTTTGCCAATAAGGGTGAGTCAAGAAGCTTCTCTTTAAAGAGCTATTCCTCTGCTTGTCTCTAGCAAACAGAGCCCACTCGAGAAAATGCTGCTACCAAGAAGTCAAGCTTGACTTTGTTTTTAAAATCCCTTTTTAAGTTCATGTCAGGTTTTACATGGAAATGCTTTCCCCAAGTGTGGACAACATTCGTTGACCTTAAGTTTGTATCAATAAATACAAAATTCTTACCAAAGCATAGTATTCATTTCTATGTCACTCTACACAAGCTATGAAAATACTGTCACTGTGAAATACACATGTTGGGCTTGCTACAAATATACTTCCTAGGCATGTAGTTCCTGCTACTGCTGATCCCTCTGTCACTCAGGTAGCAATATTTTCCTTCTCCTCGGATGAAATTCCTAAAAAACAAAAAAACAAAAAAACAAAATTTCTGCAGAGCCTGCCATGGCATTCACTCCTGCAATGATATCTCCCTTATGTCCACTGTGTATTTATAACATGAATCACATAAAGACAGAGTCCATGAGGAATCACCAGCACTAGTTTTGCACCTAGTGACTTTTACATTCTCAGGGTTCCCTTTGATGACCACACCTTTGTCGTTCATCTGTGTTGTACCCTGTAATGTGTGTATAAAGCATTTGACTGATGCTTGCTGCCATGTTCAAATGAACTTCAGCCATGGGTAGCATCACAAGGGTGGTATGGTAATATATTATTTATGATATATTAAAGCCACTGGAGATCAAAACGGCAAAACAGTCACATTAGTTAGCAATAGAAACTAGATAGTGGTGGTCCACACCTTTAATCCCATCACTTGGGAAGTAGACGTAGATGGATCTCTGTTAGTTCAAGGCCACTCTGAGCTACCTGAGTATATCCAGTCCTTAAGAGAAACAGGTCACATAAAGATGATCTCAGCACTTGGGATCACACACCTTTAATCCCAGAACTCATGAGAAGTATTAAAGACAGGAGCAGGGTCTCAGAGATGGCATTCATTCTCCATCCACATTAAGGATAGGAAGACAGACATTCATTCTCCAGCCACACTGAGGATAGGAAGGCATTGATTCTCTCCAGTCACACTGAGGAGAAGCCGCAGTTTGAGGCTTGGTGAGAGCCTATGGAGACAGGATCAGCCCTTTCAGCCTGAGGTAGTTGCTTGGCTGTTTTGCTTTTCTGATGATCAGCTTGAAGCTTGAATCCCAATATCTGTCTCTAGGTCTTTTACTTATCATGACACAGGTTGGTTTTCAATTCTGTCTTGGGTATTTTTAACATGTGTAAAAGTGGGAGAAAATGCATCCCTTAGTAAATTGCTGAATTTAATGATGCACATGACTGGGGCTGTGTTTTGCCATTCCAATGAAATGGGTCTGTTCAAAATGGCTATGCTCACATCACAACACATGAACACACTAGAAGAAGTGTTCTGAAAACATACAAGCTGTTATATTTAGTGTCGTCTGTCCACCTCCAAGGGTGTTTTGATGACTCTCTGTGAAGGCCGATCCAGTGGTTAAAAGTCTCACTGTATATCTTCAGGAAATTCTGTCATAAAAAAGGGAAAGCAAATATATGGGTCTCTCAGTTTTAGATAACCCTTGAGTGTCTGCCCTACAGCCCCCTCTCAGGATGGCAGCAGGGTGTACTGAGAGTCATCGACTTTGGAGCCTACATAACCTTCGGTTTTCAGTGTGTGTACTTTACTGCCATAATCCTTAATACATGGACACCCATCCTTCTGTGGCTGAGAAAGTCCCTCGCTAAGCCTCTACTTGTAGTTAATAACAGTTGTCCCCTTAAGTATGCAACACCTACCAGCCCAAACAAAGAGTTACATGACCACCACATCTTTCAAATGTATGTCTGGCCATGCAGGTTGCCAATTAGCACTAAAGAAGAGAATGTCTTTGGAATGTCTCAGGGCTACAACCAGATATGTTGCCATCACAATTGGCACATACTAACATGTGTCCTGTGTCCCCCAATGACTAGGGTAGAAACGTTCCTCGTGTTTCAGCTTTAAACACCCTATCCTAAGGCAGTAAATATTCAACAGAACAAACAACGAACCAGTTCCTGATCCTTTCTTACCAGCTCCTCCAGGTTGTCAAATCGAGCTAGTTGGGCATCTAGTGCCATGCAGGAGGTCTGGCTGGATGTCCAGTTTCTCATGTCTTCAGAAAAATAAAAACATTTGCTTCCAAAACCAATCCAGTCTCTTGAGCAGATGTCAGAGCAAGTTCCACGGTTTTCAATGGCTGGTCTCCCAGAAATGTAAACTGTGTCATGAAATATTATAAGAAACATTTTCTGTGTCTGCTCCCATAGGCTAGCATCTAAATCTCGATGTGGGAGGTGTACTTGGACTGTACTTTCATAACTGATGTCTAGGAGACCCCTTCCAGCACAGTGGTCCCCAATCAAGGCCTTCCAGTGAATGCTAAGGAAGTGCATTAATTTTCTCCTTTGTGTTTTGAGTTTTGAAAAAGAATCACACTATGTCCCCCTGCCTGGCCTTCAATATCCCTCTGTGCCCTGTACTTGTCTGGATCTTGTAGTAATCCTGCTGGCTGTGGCTCCTGAGTGCATGGAATAAAGACAACATACCCTGTAAGGAAATGATTTCTAGGCCATCAGCTCCTTCAGACTGTTCCTAGTTCCTGGAATCCTGTAGCTTCCTCTCCCACAATCCTCCTTCACATTCTCCTTTGCTCTTGACTAGAATGTAGAGTGTAAAGAGCTGTGTGTGTGAGCATGCTGTAACACTTACAAAGGAGAACAAGGAGGAGGGATGCAAGCTGTAGATGAGAAGGAAGGACAGGATGCCGCCTGTGAGCCATGAAAAAGTTATAAAGAGCATGGTTTTTCTAGTGTCAACTTTACTGGTGTTTTTTCTAATTTGTGGTTGATAAGTGTATAAAAATGTAAGCACAATAAAAGTATAAAATCATAACCGAAGCTCCATGGCTTCCCAATGGCTATTCTAACTGTGTGGAAGTTCAATGAGATACATAGGGTTTGGGACTGGGCAAGTGTTGCAGTGCTATGCTAATGGAACTGTGTGATGAGTTCATTTGTGAGTCATGGTAAAGTGATGTGTGTGTGTGTGTGTGTGTGTGTCTGTGTGTCTGTGTGTGTGTGTGTGTGTGTGTGTGTGTGTGTGTGTGTGTGTGTGTAAGAAACTCTGAATGCAGCAGGGTCTCAGAGGACCACTTTGAAAAAGCAGACATTTTTCTTTTATAACATTGTCTTTTTCTTCTTTTAACAGAAAAGAACAAATGCATGGCTCTTTTGAAGGGCTATAGAGCCTACAAATAAATGATTTAATAAGAAATACTGAATACTAGAAATGACCACACTTATTTTTAGTGGAGGGAAATTTGTTGTAGCTGTTCCCATATCTTATATCCAGTACCATGAGGCTTTAACAAAGGGAACAAATACAATGGTCCTGAGGGTGACTGTCTCTTCTTTTGATCTGACTCTTTTCAGAGCTACATAACAGTTTAGGTTACACTGACTAAGTCTTCTTGGCAAAAGTTTGTCCATGTCTAAGCCTGTACTTGCAGTTATCAACAGTTGTCACCTTAAGTATGCAACACCTGTCAGCTCAGACAAAGAGTTACATGACCACCACACTTCTCAAATGTATGTCTGTCCATGGAGTTTGATTATTGGCACTAAAGGAGTGAATGTCTTTGAAATGTCTCAGGGCTATTGCCATCACAATTAGCACACACTAACATATGCCCCATGTCCACTGTATGCCTAGGGTGGGATCCTTTCTCATGCTTCATATTTAACTTCCCTACCTCAAGGCAATAAATATTCAAAAGACAACCCAACAAACAAATTCTTGATCCTTTCTTACCAGCAACTCCAGGCTGTCAAATTGAGCTAGCTGGGCTCCTTGTGCCTTGCAGGAGGTCTGGCTGGATGTCCAGTTTCTCATGTCTTCAGAAAAATAAAAGCATTTACTTCCAAATCCAATCCAACCTCTTGGACAGCTGGCATTGCAAGGTCCACAGTTGTCATTTTCTGGTTTCCCTACAATGAAACAGTGTCATGAAATATATAAGAAACATTTTCATCTCTAGTCCAATAGGCTAGCATCTAAATCTCAATGTGGGAGGTGTACTTGGACTGTACTTTCGTAACTGATGTCTAGGAGACCCCTCCTAGCACAGTGGTCCCCAATCAGGGCCTTCCAGTGAGCGCTAAGGAAGTGCATTAATTTTCTCCTTTGTGTTTTGAGTTTTGAAAAAGAATCACGCTATGTCCCCCTGCCTGGCCTTCAATATCCCTCTGTGCCCTGTACTTGTCTGGATCTTGTAGTAATCCTGCTGCCTGTGGCTCCTGAGTGCATGGAATAAAGACAACATACCCTGTGAGGAAATGATTTCTAGGCCATCAGCTCCTTCAGACTGTTCCTGGTTCCTGGAATCCTGTAGCTTCCTCTCCCACAATCCTCCTTCACATTCTCCTTTTCTCTTGACTAGAATGTATAGTGTAAAGAGCTGTGCGAGTGAGCATGCTGTAACACTTACAAAGGAGAACAAGGAGGAGGGATGTAAGCTGTAGATGAGAAGGAAGGACAGGATGCAGCCTGTGAGCCATGAAAAAGTTATAAAGAGCATGGTTTTTCTAGTGTCAACTTTCCTGGTGTTTTTTTCTAATTTGTGGCTGATAAGTGTGTAAAAATGTAAGCACAATAAAAGTCTACGACCATAACCAAAGCTCCATGGCTTCCCAATGGCTATTCTAACTGTGTGGAAGTTCAATGAGATACATAGGGTTTGGGACTTGGCAAGTGTTGCAGTACTATGCTAATGGAACTGTGTGATGAGTTCATTTGTGAGTCATGGTAAAGTGATGTGTGTGTGTGTGTGTGTGTGTGTGTGTGTGTGTGTGTGTGTGTGTGTGTATAAGAAACTCTGAATGCAGCAGGGTCTCAGAGAACCACTTAGAAAAATAACAGACATTTTTCTTTTATAACATTGTCTTTTTCTTCCTTTAGCAGAAAAGAACAAATGCATGGCTCTTTTGAAGGGCTATTGAGCCTATAAAAAATGATTTAATAAGAAAAACTGAATACTAGAAATGGCACACACTTATTTTTAGTGGAGGGAAATTTGTTGTAGCTGTTCCCAGTTTGTATACCCAGTACCATGAGGCTTTAATGAAAGGAACAAATACAATGGGTGACTGTCTTTTCTTTTTATTTGACTCTTTTCAGAGTCATATAATAGTTTAGGTTACACTGACTAAGTCTTCTTGGCAAAAGTTTGTCCATGTTTAGACTTGTGTATTATTCACTGATGCTGTTAAAGTTAATTTTATAAAACAATATGAATCATTACTTCAGCTATGGCGGGGAAGCTGTACAAGATTTTATCATGTTATTTACAACAGTCTACAACTAAATGCTCAGGAATAACATATTTCTGGAACATTCTACTTAATAATTTCAGAGTAGTTGAAGATATTAACTAAAACTAGGAGTCATGGAGGCAGTGAGTCTTCACTGAAACTATGAATAATGGGCGATGGTTCATCGGTACCTTCCCCAACCCTATTACTCTCCACTGCCCTTACTTCCCTTTAGCTGTAGCTCTTCCTTCAGGTTTTACTCCTCTTGTTTCAGTGCTGAATAGTTCCTCCAGGTAGAATATGTCTTCTGCATCTCTCTAGAGCTTGTTGAATGTCATCTTCCCAGAGATATTGAGCCTGGCCTCCTTTGCACAACACAGCTTTTGCTATTCCTTTTCTGCTAAGCCTTAACTTCCCAAAGAACAGGAATTTCTGGTGTGTTTTCTCTAGAACCCTTCCCACAGTGCCTGACTCACAGTGATCAGTAAGTATTTACTAACAGTGAGAATGTGGACAGAACTGGAGAATGAATCACTTACTTGGCAAACCAACAGAAAGTGCAATTACAATTACAGTGAGGACCACAATAAATATGTAGCAGTCTTGAAGCTTAATGGGAAACCTAGAGGAGATGCTTCTGAGGTGTTTTCCTTGAAGAATATTACCTGTAAAATAAGAATATAAGAATGCTAGTTTAGAGAATTTCTTAAGGAAGATAAGATAAACTTAGCACAAAAACCCACCTTACAATTGCCTACAGGTACCTGAAAGGGCACTAAAATCCCTTTCAATGAAGGCCCTGGTCCATAAAGGATGTCCCTGGTGGAAAGAAGACTAGAGATGCTGGAAACAGCCAGGGGCCTTCTGGTTGCTGAACTAGGGTGAATCATGAAAGAGCAAGTGTGGGGACACCAGACCTTGAACAGAGACCCACTTCCCCTTCAGCCTGGGAGCAGGCAGCTGTGAGATAATGTTTACTGAAAACAATTCAGTGCTATAAAGCTCTTGATAGGGCTCAGATAAGGGCTTGCTCACTGAAACACCATGACTTTGATACCCCCTACGGCTACATGCTTCTTCCTGTTCCCCCTGCGGTGTCTCCCCGATTCTGTGGCCTGAGATTAAACCACCAGCCAGGAGGGTGAGAAGTCTGGGAGAGTTGTTGGAGAATTGTATGTAGATGGATGACAGAAGTCCTTAAAAAGGGAAGCTCTTTTTTCTTGGGGAGCTCTCTCTCCTAAGCGGACTTGGGGTCTCCTCCTAAGCTGACTTGGGAAGCATAAAGTTTTCTTAAAGCAACCAACTGGTCTCTGTGTCATCTATCCCGACCACCTCGCTACATTCTCGGATGCAGGCTGTACAGCAGGTGCGACAAGCAAGAAATAAAGGAGTGAGGACCACAGTGAGAAGCAGCAACAGCAGCCAGCTGCATTGCTCTCCATTAAAAGTGTTCTGGGTAGGAGGGGTAACAGAAACATTAGGGGGAAAAAATCAGAGTAACTAGACCTATTAACAAACTAAGAGAAAAGTAGAAACATCTATACACAGCAAAACTGTGTGAAAATTAGGCATAAAGGAACTGTCCCACACTTAACAAAAACTATCCACTAAAAAACAAACAGTAAATCCAGTTGCAGTCTTCTTCATTCCCAACCATGCAATTATGAATGCTTTCCCAGCCATATGGAGCAGGAGCAGGATGTCTGCTGACTACTCCAGGGTGACTTTCACAGGAGGGCCACCCAGGGCAAAGAAATAGGGTCACATACCTGGAGAATGGCTCAGCAGGTAAGAGCACCTGCAGCTCTTCCAAAGGATACAGGTTCAATTCCTAGAACCCACAAGATAACTTACAATCCTGCCAACTCCAGTTTGAAGGGACCCATTTCCCACTGCTGGCACCATTACCCCCCAAATGCACCAGGCACTCATGCGATGAACAAACACGCAGACAAAAGAGCCACAGTCACAAAATAAGGGTCTTGAAGGAAGAAAGGTTTATGCTTCTTGAAAACAGATGAAAGTGTTTCTTTTCACCAATGATGTGGGCCTATCTGCACAAAAATTCTCACAAACCTACAAAATACTCCTGGATGTTAAAAAAATGAGTTTACAAAGCTAGAGAACATAATGTCAGCATGGTAAAATCAGTTGCAGTTTCTGTCAAATGGAAATTATTGTCTAAGAGAACACCATTTGCAGTAATGCCAAAAACATAAACGACAAATCTAAATGAAAAAGTTCATAATCAGCATAAGGAAAACTACATGTAAAACTAGGAAGAAATCAGGGCAAGGCTGGAGAGCTGACTCAGTGGTTAAGAGCACATTTGCTACTCTTGAAGAGGACCTGGGTTTGATTCCAGCACCCACATAGGAGCTTACAACATCTAAAATTTCAGTTTCAGGAAATTTGACACATATTACAGGAGATTTGATCGCAGTGTAAATCTCCAAGACTGTGTTAACAAAATTTACCTTGGATCAGGGGCAGAGCCAGCAACTAATTGACAAGAATTAGCCATAGAAAGTACAAATGACCCAGGAAGACAGATACAGAGACACACAGGAAGTGAAGTGAGAGACTTAGATATTTCATGGTCTTTTGTCTAGGACATGTGGAGAGAGACATGCATGCTGCGTAGCCACTTAAAAAGGGAAGGTCAGGGGATCCTTCCTCCATTGCCTCTTTGATCTATCAGGTTTCACCCCAATATCTGACTCCCAAGTCTTTATTGTTAATAGAACAACTTAGATAAAAACAACAGATGGCCTTTCCTTTCCTGACCTTGGTGGGCACTAGGAATGCATGTAATGCAGATATTTATGCAGGCAAAAAACTCATACCCATAAATTTTTTATAATAAAAAAGGAAAGATAAAGACAGTTCTAAATACATAAGGAACTTGACCACTCAATATTGCTCATATGTCAACAATTCATGAACTAATTTATATATGCAACAGTGTCACTTCCTGAGGAATGGATGCCTTCAAAAAAAAAGACATAGCACCAAATTATATGAAAAGTCTCATGAAAATTAAAAAGAAATTAGAATAGTCAAAATTGATCCTGAAAAAGAAAGGTCTAATTCAGTGATCATGCTGCCTAATCACATGACTCCTGGAAACAGGAATAAAGACAGCCTGATGCTAGCAAAAAAAGAAGACACTAGAATAATAAAGCAGGAAAAAAAAGACTCCAGAAATTACATCAAACACACATGGTCAACAGATATTTAGACAGGGAAAGACAGCCATTGCTCCATTATGTATGTGCTACTGAAGTAACCTGGTGTCTGTCTTGACAAGAATCAAGTCAGACTGTAGACCCAAGCACAAAGTTTAGTATTGTAAGTCATTTAATTCTTTTAAAAGTGGGGGGAAGGTGCGAATTTGTCTTAGGCAAAAGTCGTCTTAGATCCAAGAGCAAAATCATTGTGTATATAACAGGAGGCAGATGAATTAGATATTGATGTGACTCTAACGCCATTTTTCAGAAAGACAGACTTGTGCAGACACTATGAAGCTGTATGGCTGTTTGTACAGGAAGTGTAAGATGTGGTGAAGCCCCCATCATGCCCATGCTGGAAAGGAAAGCCCGCATTTATGTTTCATTAAGAAAGAACAAGAAACCTTAATGTGCATATTTGTGGTACCTTTAGGGATCACTGTGAAAACTGGAACATTTGCAATCATTCAAATGTCCCCAAGCTGATGACAAGGTAAGCAAACTCTAGCAACAAAGAAACAAGTTGGACCACAAACCTGCACTTCCCTATTTCTCATGCCATTTACCAGGCCACAGTCTCTAAACTCATCAGCAAGCTTAAAGGCAGTGAGTCACAGAAAACTGTCTCCTTCCTTCCTCCCTCCCCACAAATTCTGGAAAAATTAATAAATAAATAACCCAACTGCCATGACTCACTTCCTCCTCTCACTTCTCCACGAGTTTCCTGCCAGCTTCTCTTCTTGTGTAAGATTTCATCTGAGGTGCTTGCATTCTTCTGAATTCAGATAGTGTTCCTGTGTCAGTGGTGCTGTGGACATAGTCTCCTAGAATCTAGTCAATAGTGGATCTGACCTGCTATTAATAGACACTGCGTTTCCTGAAGAGCAGAAAGCAACGCTGTGACAACTGACAGAAGCCAAATGTGAAGTCTCTGCTTCAGGGACACATTTTATGGCACTCTGGAAAAGTAAGTGTGTAACGGCTGGGGACAGAGGTACACAGTGTCTGCAACCTGGAATGGGGAAGTTGCGGATAGGTGGGAGGTCTACATATCCTTCATAAGCTATTGTTTTAGATTTATTTTTGTGTATGAGTGTTTTGTCTGCATTTATGTATATATGTGTACTATATGCATGCCTACTGCTAGGAAAGGTTCTGAAAAGTGTGTTGATCCCTGGAA